GAAGTATCTACTCGAATATCAAATCAAAATATTTCTAGTTTTTCTAGATGATACTAATACTTCAGTAAGTAACAGTTGATGCTCAAGTAGCATCTCGATACAACAAAAAAGGACAACAGTGACAGTGTTCAACCATCAAGGCAAAAATCGAGTTACCAAAATATAAGTTAGCATGGGGTAGACACCTTGAGATGGGAATCTCTATGGCCAGTGTTAGAAAAAACGCACTGCACAATTTATGCATAAATAAAAGTTAATTACATGAAAAGTTTTCGATATTCCTGCTCCTAATGTGTTTTTCAAACTGAATGCACCTTTTGACGACGCTCCACGTTCATGAAAGTCACCATGTTTAGTTAAAATTCACTCTTACAGCGATCCTACTGGTTTTCTAAGCTGCTTTACAGACAGCTCAGTTATTTGCCACGCCGATGCTCATTTTTAGATTAAATGCTCACAAAACGCGTAGATGTTCAGTTTGTGTCCGGGGAGATACAATGTTTCCAAGTAGGTACTCAGTACATAGAGTAGATGCTCAGGTATATAAGAGTAATAATGAAGTAGGTACTTCGTACTTCGAACATGAGTATCTACTCAGTTTTATTCATACCACCCCATGTCTCGCTTCAATGTTTGATTATGTTGATTATGAGCACAACGCTGATCAACTTCCATACCCGAATTACCCATGAAATAAATCATTGCGGTTTGCACCTGAGGTAGTTCGTCGCACATTTGATTGACTTCGTGGACCTATGTGAGCTTGTCGTCTTCTCGGCATTTTAATGAACTTCATAAAACGACACAGAATTATTTTCACAGTCAATCCAATCTGTAAATTTTGTCTTGAGAATTTTAAAATATTGAAAACTTCAAATTAAATCCTCGAATAACGGTAAAGTTTGAGGTTTTGTCGAAACCAACAAAGTGAATATAGGTAAAAAGAATGGCAGATCAAAATGAATAAGAAACTTTGGCAATGTGTAATTAAATTCACTTTAACCAAGACTTTTCTTAAAATAAACGACGCTTTTTTTTACGAAAAAACAAAGAACGATTTGAAATGCAATATACTTTTAACAATCGCACGGAAGAATTAGTTTTGTATGACACGTCAGTTAGACGACAGGTCCGTTAGAAACGCCAACTATTGAAATTAATTTGAAGTGGCGATTCCCATACAAAATTTTTAGAATTTTTTTATTTTTTAACTGTTCTTTTAAGTTATCCTTATTTTTTTTATTTATAAACCATCCCCGTAATATAAAAAAATGTTCAAATCGGTCAAGCCGTTTTTGAGTCTTAGCGAGACTAACAGGAACAGCAATTGATTTTTATTTTATAGACGATTAAAAAATGGGGGTTGGTGGTAGAAAGGTAAAAGTTTAGGGTTATGTGTATTTTTTGATGCCAAATCTTAAAAAAATAAAAATAAAAAATTTTGTCCAAAAAATAGAAAAACATTTTTTAGGGTGGGCCACCCTTATCACTTAGGGGTTTAAAAAATACTTTACACCTTATTGTCAGACCTACCGAATATACATAAAAAATTTCATACAAATCGGTCAACCCATTTCGGAGAAGTTCGGTTACAAACACTGTGATGCGAGAATTTTATACATAATGCATTATTATTTTAGAACAAATTTCATTACCATAAAAAAGGTTATACTGACTCGACCTTAAAAGATAGACATATGATGTTGCGGACTTTTCTTTAGAACTTTTAGAGGGGAACAATTTCGTCATACATGATTTTTACGTAACTTTAACCGTTTAAGCAGCGTAAGCAATGGAAGCTGTCAAAGGAGGAATAATTTTCCCGTTTTTCCGAATTTTTCATTGCTACTTCGCTCCTAATGATCGTAGCGTGATGTTATATAGCCTATATGTAGATATGATACATGGACTATCCAACACAAAAAGATTTTTTGAATTTGAACCAGTAGTTTCTGAGATATGCGTGTTCAAATAAACAAAAGCTTCAGCTTTATTATATAAGTATAGAAGTATAGATTACCGGTAAAGAATAAATGTAAATCTGGTGGAGAAATGCTAACATTTCCATTATGTGGATTATGTGCCAAATTAAATAATAACATATGTGATCATATCGAATCTCAGAGAACTATCAGAGGAATCTGGTGTACAAGTGAAGTACAAAAGGCTATAGAAAAAAGTTATAAAATAATAACTATTGATAAAGTTTGACATTTTGAAACTAAATGTTTGTTTAAAGGATATGTAAAAGCATTTATGAAAATAAAGTTAGAGATAACTGAATGGAAAAATGATTTTTTTCGGTGAGTTGTTCGCGTTCGCCAAGGTTTTTGAATGAGTACAATCATGTATTTTCTGCGTATGAGTGCGCATGCTCGGTAGGTTTGAATTGAAACAAATGCAAACAGTGACATTTTGATTGCCGATTGACATTAGATAATTAAGGTAGATAATAACTAATATGATATCACACGCATTGGAGAGGTGTAGCAAAATATGCTTAAATTCCTTATGGGGTAAATTTGGTCAGAAACAAAATATGGGGGCAACAGAATACGGTACAGTATTAAACGATTTTATGAAATTTTGTTAGATGATGAACTTGATAATATACATATATGTAAATTAATTAAATGAAAATATGTTACAAATTGATTATTAATATAAAGGTTGCTGTGTAAAAAATGCTTTCAATACGAATATATTCATAGCTACTTTTACAACTCCAGATTAAGATTGTACTAAATGTTAGATAAATTAGGAGAAACTGGTATATGGGAGATTGGACCGATGAATTAGGTAAGGACGTATGAATTGTTGATTGGGTGTAAACAGGTCCAAAAATTTATTGTTAATAATACAGGTAAAGTTGTTTGTAAAATAAAAGAATTTAGATTAAACTATGAAACGTCCAAAAAGATTTAATTCTGATAATAGCGAACATTTTAAGTTGAACACAGTGAATCATTAGAATCTGACAACTGACCATCAGCCAGTAGCGTAACATGCACACTTCAGAAGGGGATGGATTTCTAGTGGTTTAAGTAGTAGAAGTATTGTAATCGAGTCCGTCGGCCGACTCTCTACTTTAACGTTTTCTCGACCTTACATGTCCCCTACAGTACGAAGAAATACTTCTCCCGTTTCCACTGCCTGTCTGTTTATCCATCTGGCTGTCCGTCTGTCTGCCATCCCGGATTTTTATTAGACATATCGTCTCCGAAAGTACTGGATCGATTGTGGTCAAATTTTGTATTTATATGTATTACGAATATCATGTAGATGTAGATGGTAAAACGCTAACCAAAAATGTGATGACGTTACTTCAAAAATTGTACATAGTAAATGGGTTTTAATTTGTATAAAATAAGGTAGTCCTAGATATGTAGTTTATGACTTCAAAATGAGTTTTTACCCGAAACGTCCAGATTTTTGGAAAAAAAAAATCAAAATTATTAAACAACATTTTGCAATTTAATTTTGAATCTGGAAAACCGAATGCTTTGCATTCTTGCAGATGTTTTAAAGTTATGATAAGCGTGATAAATTTTTAATCAAAATATATTTGCTCCAAATCGAAAAGATATGAACTTGTTGTAAACAAACAACTTCAGTATGCAGAGCACTTGTCTCTTTCTGGGACTCTTTAGTGACCTGTGTGTTGTTTATTTAGTTAGTTAATTTTTAATACAAACAGGCCGAAATGACTTGAAATTTAACTAATCGAATCGATACATTTTACACCTTAAAATAATTTTCTATCCATGTAACGATTTTTATATTCTAAAAATGTACATTTTTTCTTTTTGAATGACGTCGCGAAAATTGGGATGCATCTAATAAGTTTTATTATAACCTATTTATTTCAAGGATTCATTTAATTATGACTAATTTTCATGTTTATAAAAACGATTGATTTTGTACTTGAAAATCAAATTCTACAGAACAAACCCATATAGTAATATAAACTATTCCGTGCTCCCATTTGTACAGTATGTAAAGCCTATAAATGAAACTAGAGAAATATGTAGCTAAATTTTCTAATTTTTCTTAAATTTTAATCATTGTAATATTTTTACCTTCGTAATTTTGGATACTTTATTAACTTTATGTTTGTGACTAGTCGTCTTTTTGTTTATGAAGCCCTGTACAGAATATTATATTTTGTTTTATCGAACCGGTAATTTATCGTTGCTCAATGTGTTGAGTGGAAAATTCTGTGGTTTAATGTGCTTATACACTCTGTTAACTGTGAATAAAGTTCTGTATCCTGTTGGAATATAATTATAAAAATATTCAAGTTATCATTTAAAATAAAGTAGATTTAAAAAATTATTTACATGTAGGTTGAATAACCGATACTTCACATTCGGTTGCATCATCCGTCGTTTGCTTCCATTAACGAAAGTTCCGTTTTTGCAGATTTATGCAAATAGAAAGTTTATCAGTTTTCACCATTTTAGAGCTATAATTAACATAATTTTTGTAGCAACTGCTTTATTGTTGATTTAATTTCAAACCGGTCACGTAATCTCAAGAGAAAGTTTCTCTGTATCATCGAACATTCTTATCACAAATGTCAGTTGCTATCTGTTTTGCAGTATTGAAAGATTTGTTAGTTTTTTCTCTTAAGTTATAGAGTAGATCGTTGGCACATTTTGTTAATCTATAACATGTTAAGTTACCAAGTTCATGGAGACGTTGCCTTTAAGCTTCATACGAGGTAGGAACTTGTTTGCCTCGAATTGTGTGAGTAGCAGCAAAAATATTTGTTCATGAAGAGTTAATGACGTCAGAATTTTTTTCGTTTTTGATATTATGTTAATTTTGTCACTTTATCATTAAACTGTTTGTATAGCGAAACTAATGACCCTTCAGGGACGAATCAACTATGTATTAACTACTGTCCAGGGATCAAGTTTTTATTGATTTATGTCAGATAGAATTGTTCTATCACATTAATGCCCCGAACATATGCAGTAAAATTCTTTCTTTTGCAGAAATGGGGTGAACGTAGAGGGCGCCACGCACAAACAAGTCGTAGATCTTATTAAATCGGGAGGAGACGTACTGACTCTTACCGTCATATCAGTAACACAACAGGTAATTGTTGGTAATACAGGGATCTGTAGTGATTTTTATTCAATTAATCTGTATTGGTTGTAGGAGGCGGAAAGACTGGAACCTACGGACGATAACCAGGTGTATTACGATTATAGCGAGAAACGTTCCTTGCCCATTAGTATACCCGATTACCACTATAATGAGAGAGGTGGCGAGAGGTATGTTGCTTTTAACATATATATGGCGGGAAGGCATTTGTGTTCGCGAAGGTATAGAGAGTTTTCGAAGTTACATTGTGATCTGAAGAAGGAGTTTATAGGTGAGAAATTTTTTTATTTCGTTCATGTTTTCACGTTGATGAATTTAAAGGTTTTACTTTTCCGAAATTACCTGGAAAATGGCCCTTTAACTTGAGCGAGCAACAGTTGGACGCTCGTCGAAGAGGTCTAGAACAGTACTTAGAAAGAGTATGTGCTGTTAGAGTGATAGCAGAGTCTGATATTATGCAAGAGTTCCTCACTGATCAAGACGACGATAACAATAGCAGTCCTGTAGATCTTAAAGTAAGACAGTACTTTTATTGGGTGACATGGCATGTATATACGCAAGGAAATAATACGAAAGTTTTTGGAATAGCACAGATTTTGGCTAATGAAAGTAAAATATTTAGATCCTTGTGAATGATTAGAAAATGTTGTCGAATTATTATACTATTTATTTTAGGTGGTTAATTTTTAACTTCAAGCAGCTGAACGAGGTAGATCTTGAAAAATCATTAACCTTGATTTTAGGTTTTCTATGTTGTACATAACCTACACATTTACTCAAAAGTGTGGATCTTAAAGTGATTATTTTAAAAGGTTATTGCTAAATATTTTACACATGAAAATTAAATTTTTAATGAAATTAAAGCACAAATAACAGTGTTCCTGTTTTTTGGTCAATACTGTTAAACCAAAAGTTTTTGGTTTCAAATTTCGTCAGGTACAATTGGTGATTGGTTTGGCATAAAAGATATTGTTTTACCAGAAGAACTTCAAATATTCCATTTGATAGTGAATCTAATAGTTTTTTTGTGGAATATTGTGGCCCAGCTTCTTCGACTGCGTTAATTAATGTAATATTATATTGTGGTCGTCCATCTTTGTATACATTATCCGCCGACTACCCCACAGATATTAGTAGGTTATACCACGTGTGGTTTAGAATTATCGGAGAAATTTTTATTTTAACGAAAACACTGTTACCTAGCAATTTGGTGAAATCAAACTAATTTCTTCTTTTTAATTTAAAAAAATAAAATTCACAAAATCAAATCTTATAAACAACTGGATTTGATTTACTGTATACGTCTAATCTACTTAAATTACAAGTTTAACCTAAATCCTCCCATTGGTGCTCTTTTTCCGCAATGCTTCTTTAATTTTATGTAAACTGCCGTAATGTATATCGCATTCATTTCCTAGATTGTTGAACAGGCTGCACATTACATATATTGGTGATTTTTTAAAATAAATTGGTTCTTGGGTGCGGTAATTGGGAAGTGTCTTTGAGGCGAGTATGTGTGGAATTTTGTATTTAATTTGCTCAGGGATTTCATCATGTTACCGCGCAAACACTTGTATAAGAAGTTAACGGAATATAATTGTCTTCTTAATTGAACCGAAAAAACACCAAATCTTTCTAGTAGAACTGTATTTACTTCTTCGTGGATAAACAATTATCAATTTGGTATGCAACAAATAAAACAAAATATGGGAAACATTAAGAGAGGGCCAGTCCGGCTTCCCCTCAATCTGAAATAATGGTAGAAATCGCAAACGAACACTACGAAGATCGCCGCCAATCCTTTAAGAGGAGCGAGCCGCCCCAAAGAGCGCCCCTACAAAATGCCACTGACGATACGGCATGGCAGGAAGTCCTGTGCTCTGACCACCTGCTTCCCTGGATCTTTTGAGGTGCGGCAGGGGCGGCATGCAAAGCGACTAATTAAGTAGCAAGTTTTTTCAGAATAGTATATTCTTAGCTATGATTGGCTGAAGAAAATAATCAATACTCATAATTTTTAAGTCGGATGAATTACTTTGTCAATTCAACCAAAACTGGAACATTTTCTTCTCTACACCACTCTTGCACAATTCCTTCTAAAAAATGCATGGAACCGCATTAACCACTTTTTATAGGCAGTTTTTATAGCTGCAAGCAATTTTCCACGTTAGGTACAACTATAGTTCTGCAAGTGACAATTCGACAGTTTTTTGTCGACATGCGTTTCGTCAACCACGTTGATATTATGTATACAAAGCTAAACTAAAGTTAAATTACAACTAGACGCTTATTATACCCTAACTAGGACTCTTCCTACTTCATTAGTGGTGTAGGTCTTCATTAGTGGTGTAGAGAGACGATTTTTCCTTTTAAAAATTCGAAGATGTTCATGAATGCCCCGAAACATTGAATTACTGACACATTTAACAATATTTCAAGAATTTGAGCTTTAAATTGACAAATAGATTGGCTTTATACGAAGAGGTATTGATAAGTTCGTGAGAAAACGTTGGTCTATTTCAAAACACATTTTTACTTCCTGGGCGTAAACTAAGGAAGTATTGTAATCGGGTTCATTCGACGAATAACTACATTCATGTTTTATCGACGTTTCATAACTCGTAAAGTATAAAAAATAGGTCGCCCATTTCCGTCTGTCTCGGAAACTACTGCACCGATTGTTGTCCAATTTTGTATGTTAGGCATATCGTGTAGCTAGTAAACGCTAATAACAAAATATTTAAATGAAATCTTAAATTCTGCAATCTGACCTTTAAGGAAAAATCTATTAATTGTGCATCAAATCATGTTTTGCATTGTTTCCTTTTGTAACTAGAGGTGTTGTTAAACCCGTTGGATTTTAATTTCACACCGAGTTTATTTTTTGTAGGTATTATTACCCGATAGAGATGTCGTAACCGTATCCCTTAAAAAGAGCGCCAACGCTGACGAAGTTTACGAAGCTGTCGTTAAAAAGATTGCTATGAACAAACGCGTATCAAAATATTTTTATCTTTTCGAAATAGTTGAATACAACTTCGGTAAGTAGGTTTTTTTTCGTTGGCGTCCATGTAAATTTTTGTTTTAGAACGTAAACTCCAACCGAACGAATACCCCCACAATTTGTACATACAAAACTATAGTACAGCGACTAGCACGTGTCTGTGCATACGCAAATGGCTGTTTTCTATTTCCAAGGAACTGACGTTGATGAATGACACACAAGCGACTTCATATATTTTCTGGCAGGTATAAGACCTATTACCGGCAAAATTCAGCTTTAGTTTTATCTCTTTTCAGTCTGTGGATGAGGTGAATAGAGGTTATATCAACGCCGGAGAAAGACTGTATCAACTTAAAGCACTCCAAGATAACACCAGAGCTACTGAATACTTAAAACTGGCCCGGGAATTACCGGGTTATGGTGAAGTTGTCTTCCCACATTGCGCATGCGATTCGCGCAAAGATGGTCATGTGGTAGTGGCCATTGGCAGTTCAGGAATTAAGTTACATGCTTGTCGCGAAGACGGGACTTTGGAGAGTCAGGTTGTGGTTCTTCAGTGGGACACAATAAGGCAGTGGGAAGTGGATGATGAGGGGATGGCGTTCTGTTTGAAGTACAATAGGTCGGACAAGACGCCGAGATGGCTGAAAATTTTTACACCTTATGTGAGTAATGAAGAATCTAATCGAGAATCTGAGCTTCGAAATGAATCTGTCCACAAGAATTGTTTAGGGCCTGTTATAAAAGAAAATATTGTTGTATAATAGAAAATGGACTAAATAATTTTTACATCTACTGCTTCATAGTTTTCAAGATTTTCAAGAAGCTGTTTTATAATAATTTTGATTTCTTTCAAACTTGCAAGACTGTTCACATAGGATTGTGTTTTTGATTTGTGTTACCAACAATTTGACGCTTTTTTCTTAGGCTCTGCCTAAGGGAAGTAGTGTAATAGTGCCCTTTTGATGAATCTCGAATTTCATCTTCTCTTGATATATGTAATTAATTAAATATGAATGGTTTTCCCGTTTCCATCTTTCTGCTTATTGTCTGCACAGTTTGGTAAACTACAAAACTGCTGAAGTATTTGTGTTTTTTTTGTGTGTATTTTAAGATTAGATTACCAAAATTTGTTGATAATTTATACCTCTAAAAAAACGGGGAGTAATGTTATGAAAAAAATGACGAATAAAACAAAACACGAAAAACGAAAGGAAACTTAAAGCAAGTACGGTGACACGAAGCCACAATTATAAGAGTGAAAGCTTCAGCGGAAAGAACAGGTATAGTTTGTTGAGCTTCCTGAAAAATGTCGTACCTAATTCAATGCCGATATCCCTCGGCCAATAATATTAATAAGAGTTTTAAATGATCACGGGAAGATCCAAGCACTTTTACAAATGCATTTGCTCGGTAACTTGATCGTAGTGTTGTATTGTACTTAAATCTTATGATATGAGATGAGTCCAAATAATAATTAATAATCTATGTAGCTCTAGAACGAGTAATTAATGCTTTACTTTTTCACACAATTTTTTTGAAAGTTTTATAAACGAAAAAAGGGGTTTTTGCATTTATGTCGTGAAATATAAAATTACTAACTTATGAACCACCGGAGTTATAGTAGCCTGCCTAGATATTGTAGCCGTCCATAGAGTCGAGATTTGCGAATAAAAATAAAATAAAACCGGCTCAAACGGAGCCGACGACGGCTTGCAAGTTCTGTCACTACGGCACGCGTCATATCACACAGGGGTGTATTTAAGGCTGTTTGCACAAAATCTTAGGGTCACTGTAATCTTACTATTTTCTATCTATGACAAACGATTTGTCACACAGCTACGAAACCGATGATCTAGAGAAAGATGGAAGTATGAACATTTATTTCAACAAGTGTAATAACCGTTTGGTGCAACACAATTGGTTCAAGCAAACTAAAATATGACAGGAAACAAACAGTCCACGTGGACTAGTTTATAGGCGTGTTTGCTGCTAAGATGACTAGGTTTTTCGCTCCACCTGCCTCCGCAACGATGAATATACCATACCACAACTTGTGTACAGTGAACAGAGCTTCGATTTTATTGACGAGATTCAGCTCAGAAATTAAACAGATTATATCATAACGGAAAAAATGACATTTAATATTAAATACGTCTCTGTGCAACGTGTGCCAGAGTGACGTCAGACTTTGCAAGCCACCATCGGCTCCGTTTGAACCGGTTTTATTTTATTTTTATTCGCAAATTTCGACTCTATGGACGGCTTCAATATCTATGCAGCCTACTATACCGAATGATGATACCCATCGGGCAAGATCCATTTTTCGGGCGCAGCCCTAGGACTGCATTTCTTATCTTTTGTGACCTATTTCTTAATTTCTATGACCTATTTTCTTGTTTTTTTTTTTTTAAACTTATTTTAGGTACTTATTTTGCATTTTTTTATAACGTAAAATCTGGGTCAAAAATATCCAAATAATTTATCTTTTTAAGAAATACCCTTTAATTGAAGCATAACTTTAAAAAAATCGACAAAAGATGACTCAAATTACATTCAGTAAAACTTTTAACTCTGAATCTTTACTCAAAACACAAGTTAAATGGGGTATAAAATTTAACACGAAAATCCTTATGGCCATTTTTAAAAAAGATGCGTTAGATATTTTAACATCTTTGTTCCTAAGTAGCTCGAGATCAAATTGCATTCCTTTAAATAATTCTGCACGCATTGCGAAGACAACTCAAATAGTTTTTCAACACATCTATTTTCTTGAGAGAACTGAATAACTGCCTTTTGTGAATATTATGAATACGAAACAGCGACGCGGTGGCATACACTATATTCATTTGACCAGTTATTGGATGACTTAGTCGGTGTTGCCAGGAAGAGTAAGATGTATAAGATTTTTGTAAACTATTTCAATTACAGTAAAATTTTCAAAATTAAGAAGGAAAAGGAAGCGTGACTCATGTTTTACCTACATCGACATAAAGTTTTAGTTGCATTTTTGTTAAATATCGTAATATCAATTTGAATATACGAAAAACAACGAAGCAGTTACTTTGTCAAAATTATTTGATTCGTTAAACAAAACATTAATTAAACCCTAAATTTTTTTAAAATTTGGAAGTATGTGTCAAACTTACTGGTTAGTTTTCTGTGGCCGCTATTGTACTTCTAAAATTTTATAACAGGCGGTCCAGTAGTATTAGATTGTTTATCTAATAAAGTCGCCAACAGGTGACAGATAAACGGGAGATTCACATTTTTATTAAACCTTTTTTTTTTTAAGAATTGTAATTGAAAAATTTGTGCAATTATCATATTTACATATTGTCTATCTTTAGGAATAATAATTGTACTTGTTGAAGTTGATGGTTCAACCATAAATACTGTGGAAGCAATATTTTTTCTTGCAGATAAGGATTCATCAATGTAGTTTTCAACGACGGTGAAAGACTTCCATCGGTCGTGCCTTTTCAACATGGTTATATCGCCTCCTGAATTAACTAGTGAAATTGATAATTTTTGATTGACAATTCACAGTTATTAAATGTTATTCAATCTCAAATATTGATAAGCCCAGCATTTTCACTCTAGTGGTTGAAGCATAGGGTTGAAGTGAAATTTCAACTATCAATGCCAAGATGACACATTTCTATATTAATGAGTAGAAAAAAACTGCTTTCATCTTACGTTTACTTTTTTGTTCATAACCCAATTTAAAGTCGCAGACAAAACTTAACGACAAAGAAACCTCATTTACGTCTGAATTTGTAGGAGGTTCGATATTATAAGGTATGGGTTTAATCACAATTCAATGTGTCAAAAATTTAGGTTCACACCATAGTGTGACTTACACGTCAAGCGAATGTGTATACCTTCCATACAGTCAGGTAGGACCTGCATCTCGTGGATGATAGAAATGAGGCGCGAAAGGTTTATTCCCCAGTAATAAAGTGGCGGAAGAATTTCAATTTAATACAAATTCGAGAAAAAAAAAAGATTGGTTTTTAAACAAAATTTGTGTGGTTAATACCATGCCGGCGACCCAAAAGTGCACAATTTTTTTTTGGTGTTTTATAATTTTTATTTTAAATCGTAGGCGTTGCAAAATGTCACCTTTGACAGTTTTTAAATAGTATATTATGATACGAGTTTTATAAGAAGCATTTTGTCGCACGCACGGTTTTAGGGCACGGTGAGCGCAGCAAGAAATCAAGTGTAGCCTATTATTATTCGCACTAATGTGCGAATCCACTTTGTCGTTAAGTTTTGTCTGCAACTTTAATAGAGATTGTTTCTGTTTAACTAGCGAACTGACTTTTGTGGCAGACATGCTACTGTTCTGTAAAGATTAAAAAAAAAAACTAGAATCCATGTAAACGGACATTAGATTTGACATTTACAAATTGTCACTTAACTCAAAATAAATCAGTGCCGAAGAACACAAAATTTACTGCCAACATTAATAACTGAAGAAATAACAATGACTTAACTGTACTTAATATCGAACGTACCGTTAGCATCTATGACATTTTACAGTCGCTTTGTCATCGAGCAAACTGCTGTACATTTTCCACTGTAAAAATTCTTTGTTCATAATTCTCCATATATGTATTTATGATTATGTTCGAACTTCGTTGGCTTCTAAGAAGTCTACAATTACACGTACTTTGTAGATGGAGCAATTATTGTACTGGAAAATGAAATTATTGCCAAAAACGGGGGAAAAAAGTTCAGAGAGTTTGCTAAAAAAAGTCTCAATAAATCAAAGCGGTCAACCTTTCTTCAATTACGACACATGTACCAATCCTTGGGCGCTTATCCACCGCCAAACATTTAAGAAAATCGACCACTTCTTTGAATTTTACTAAGAGCGTTCTTGACATTCACCAACTGGTCAGCAGACACGAAGACATCCATTGCTGCACGACTAGAAAGTTCTTTAGTCTGAATATGCCACGTTTTTCCAAAAATTATTGTTATTTATGTGACGTCTTTCTTTTTTATTTGCTTCAGCCAATAAAATTTTTATTAGAAGTAGATCGATTTTGTAGATTACTTTCTTTCATTCTTTTCCTAGTAGTTCGTATACAACTGGGAAAATTTGTTTCCACTTTGGCTCTGACTACATACTAAAAGGCTGTTCCCTTGGAGCCTTAACCAAACGCATATCATCATTATGATCCGATATTCTCTGCCCCCTGCAACAGTTTAAAAGTGCTGATCACCTCTACGAGAGAATGGACAATAACTGTGTCAGTTCTTCCTAGAATGGTTCCTGTAGTATTCAATTTTTCGTTTAGCCAATAATACTGTGCTGTTGTCTGCATTTATTTCGTTTGCAATGCTCGCACCGTCCCTTACTCTAGCCTGAATATTACATCATTGTTATTCATTTAGCTGTGGCATCTTCAAAACTGTACATGTCACTCAAAACCTCACACTAACATTGTCACACCGGGTATAGTTATTTACGTGGCAAGCTTAGTAAATTAGCCTTTACGGGCGAGCCGGAATGTTTGCAGGGCGAGCGACGTAGGAGCGAGCTCTGTAATCCGGTGAGCCCCAGTAAAGGCTAGTTGCAAGCGAGCCGCGTACAACGTTTTACTTCCTCTTGCTGAAAATCCTGAAAATGAACAACTTTGGCATCTCTAGAAATTTTACTTGAAATTACAGTCATAGAAATTGTAGTTATTTTTCATAGTTTGCTCCGGTAACTATGGAAAATTGAATTGTTTGAAAATAACGGGACTGTCAATTTGTAAATTCGATTAATAATTTAAATAGTTTAATTTTGTTTCTGAGCTCTGTTAATTGTGGAATTCGATGAAGATGAAGAGTTTGAAGGTGATTTTAACGTTAGTATTAGCACAGTATTAGTGAGATTAAGAAAAAGGCCGACGCAGCGAATGTGTCTTTGATTCCGGTGCTGTCATGATAACGTTTTACAGGCAAGGCGCCTGTAAAGCTGCCACGGTAACGCTTTACAGGCAGGGTGCGTGTAAAGGCTAATTTACCGAGTTAGTTCAGACGACAGTAAACGAGCTTTAACAAGACAAGAGGAAGTAAAAATAGTTATTTACATTATGAGTGCGGTAGGTAGCATTTTACGGGCGAGGTTTTAATTTTGAAGCACGACGCGCAGCGGAGTGCTTTAATAAAGCCGAGCCCTGTAAAATGCCCTAACGCACAAATAATGTATAAAATTTTTTGTCCGACCTATTTTTAGACTTATAGTAATCTTTCAAATTCAAACTTTACGAAATTGTAACTCGGTATCCAGTACGCTGCGTTAAACAATTTTTTGTACGACCACCGCTTTTTCGATCATTTACCGTATAGGATTCCATAGCAGTAAGTTCAGTTTACGGGTTGCTACGACTAACAACTAAGAGGCGAACGGTAAGTAAATTACTTACTGTTCAGCTGAACGATAAGTAATCATGCATTCAAGATTTTTTTATTTTAAATTCCATGAGTGTTCGACTTCGACATTTTCGCTTTCAGAATCACTCATGATTGATATTTTAAGCAAATAAATCACTCACTAATAGTCGCGGAAAGAAAATTAACTCGAAATCCAGTCAGATTAAATCTAAATCGACAGCGGTCAAAATGGAAACTGATATGGAAACTGATTTTTAAAATTGTTGTTTATATTAATCGAAACCATAGTAACAAATTTTAAATTAAAAAACGACCTTGTTCATGTTTGATATAAATTCTTTCAATTTATGAATTTGATAAAAAGACGCAAATCTTTTGATGGTCGTACAAAAAATAGTATAAGCTTCACGAACGTTAAGGGGGTTTACTGGTTTCAGACAAATTGGAGACGTCGCTTCGCTCTGTCTCCAAACTTTTGCCTTCGACCAGTAAACACCCCTTACCGTTCTTAATACTTAATATACTGTTACAGTAGGCGTTGCGTTTTCTTCATTTCTCAAATATTTTGTTGAACAAAAATTTGCGTAAATAATATTTCTGCAGGTACCTATCCTTTATTATTTGTAGAACAATTAATTTTTTAAAGGCCTCTTAAACATAAAAAATTTCGAGTTATTTTACCTCACCGCGATGTGGTAAATCAATGAATGACTGTAAAATCGTAGTCACCGGGTACATCAGACTCATGAATGAGTTCTTTACAGATCGAGAGGCCAAAAAGTAAATTTACACATTGCAAAATATAAATTTTGTAGCGTGTTACAAAAAGTCGGTGTCTGAGTTTGTATGGTCCGCGACTGTAATATGTTACTGGTACACACATTGTTAAAAAAAAAAAAGTAAAAAATGTGAAGAATGAATTTTTGTAGATGAGTTTTGAAGTTCAGATTCCACATCACGAGTGCTTACCCATTTTAGTTTGTTGAAAAAAAGTGGTTGTTTTGTTTTTTAGCATCTATATTTAATGGACTGCTTTGAGAGGATCATCGAAGAAAGTAAATGGCTCGACACAGGGGAATGACTCCATACAATATCATACTAGAATTACTTGCATATTAAATATGTTGTTGAATTGTATTATAATTATTTATACTATATGAATAGTATTATATTCTCTACTAATTTATGTGATGTTATCAATATGTATATTTTGGTTAACTTCGTCAAGATCATAAAATCTAAAACTTGTTAAAATTCTTGTTATTGTATTTTTTATTATATCATTTTGTTTTAGAGCACAACTCGTCGATCTATAGAGTTAAAGAAATTCATGTGATAGATTAAATTACTAGTGTAGATTTATATGTATATATAGATATAGCGTTTCATGTGATCATAAATTTCGTGCAACACTGAATTATCTTAAGGCTTCTGTTTCATTTGAATTCTGTGGGACCTTTTACACTGCCAATTTTTTGTTCGTGCATTTCTTCAATTGCTGCAATGTCTTTATTTTTATATATATATTAGTAGCTATCGAATACTTTAAATTCTTTGAGTGTGTATCTACTAAGTGAATGGAGTAGTTCAATTTAGTTTCCTATTAGTCGTTTATCCTGCAGCCTAGAATTTTTTATGTACTACCTACAATATCCATAGTGTTTCTCTACTAAATATTTATTCTGTTAACTACTCGAGAAATCTATTGTTACTAAATAGCATCTTAAGATTTGGCTGTTACGCACTAAATTCTAAAATATATATCTACTTAACATGTGTGTGTGTTTTCAAAAAGTCTGTTTTAACGCCTACGACGTCACAAAAAAAAATATTAAATTATGGTACCTAATTTATTATGTCATTTTCCAATATTTGATGCATACTCTAATTGGCAATTAGTGCGTGGGCGGAGTTTCAATAATCAATGAACTTCTTGTAGTTGATTTAAAACCATACCTAGTAAAGTTTTTGAAGTACCCAATTTGGTTATTTAAAACAGTAAATTGTTGCATATGTATCTTGGGAAAATTCCAAACAGAAATATCTTCACAACACATTTCAGTAATAAAAGAAATCCTTGATTTCCAAACCAATAAATACTGCAATTTTACATCTCAGGTAAATAACGACAGCAATCGATTTTATTTATGGCAGTGTGGAAATGGAACGAAGAATAAGAAACCCTTCACTATTTCAAATCAAATAACGCCCACTCTGCGACAAACACCTTGTTTTTTTATACATTCCCTGCGGTAATGATACGCAGTGATAAATTGCGTTCATAAATAATGAAGCCTCTCGATTTACCTATAAAATCAAAGTTAAGGGTTTATCGGGGGTATTTACGAGCAAGCAAGTGTTCGAATAAGATGGTAAGTGAAGATTTTAGCGCGAACAAATATTTGTTTTTATATAATAGTACAGTAATTTATAGTGCGAATTAAACTAATTAATTTTCTAGGGATCTCCAACATTCATTATAGTGTTAGTGTTAATGGGGATAATTGAAAATTATATTTGTGCTGCTTCCATACCGGTCTGTATTACGTAAGTATTTTGTTCAAGGAATGAATTTTTGTTTTACAGTCGAGTACCTATAGTTTTTATTGTTTAAATCTGATCAAAACTTGAAATTTCGATTAATATATAACAAACACCGTGAGTGGTAGCAGGTAGGTTATTTATATTGGAGGATTATTTTAGTTAATCAAAACGCAGTATTTCATTCCACTGATCTTATTATTCCAATTTATTTTTCACTAAAATAAAATACAGCACCGTTATAACACGCAACAACCGTTAAAACAAAAATCACAAACTGCAAGTATTGGCTTTCACAGGCGTTGACTTCTCATCATTAATTTTCACTTCGTGCACGTTTCTGTTCATGGAACGGTACTCCTTGGTAGGATAAGTACAATTTTCTTTATTTTCACAAATGGCGTACTCTTTTCGTCCTAAAATTGCTCGAGGAAAAGGTGCTTTAGTGCCTAAAATTGGTCGTGGCGTATCTCCTGTCCCGTTGTTTGCTCTAACCGTTTTCCTGGAGTACCGCGAGCTTTGTGTACTTTGTGAACATGGTACTTTAATTATAGATTTTGGAGGGGTGATCTGGTCTAATGGGATGTATGCTTGGGCGCCAGCGCGTAGTTCTGAGTTCATATAATTGGAAGTAGAGCACAATGAAAATCGAAAGGGGTTTGAAGTTTGATGTGTTGATACGAGAGTTGCTAGGCATTTGACTGGAAATAGCTAAAAATCTTGGCCTACGTTGCACAAGTTATCAAATTTTAAACTAAAACTCTTTTAAAGGGGGCCACACACAGAGAGGGAAGAGTCAAGACTTGAATGTACGTGCCATGGAGTACAGTTAAAACTGCTAGTGTGTGGGGAAGAATGTGGCATGTGCAGTCACGTACGGGTTTAATACCTAGGGCCCGGACTTTAGGTTTTTTGCCGTTTTGTTCCTTTTTGCATTTACATAAAACTTAGAAATAAATGTGTTTCGGAAAAAATAACGTCATTTGAGCCTACTTTATAATTGCCGAATTGCCTATAATGTGAGTAGGTATGTAACCTAAAACTGATTTTTGTGACCTAAAACATCCTAAACTTGCTGTTTTGCGGCAATTTCACAAAAATGCACACAATGGATGAGCTGAAAGCAGATCTTTCCAGGAAACAACACCAATAAAATGCGGCAGTTCTTTGAAAGACGTCTAGCGCCTTTGCTTTCGATTGTAATACTTTATCTTACAAACAAGTTTGTTAACACATTTTTATTATTTCATTTGTAAATGCACTTCTGCTAATACCACTAGCCATATTTCTGAAGTTCAGTTAAAATTGTGTCGTGGTGTAAGTTTGATGTTCACTTGTGAAATATTCTTAAACGTCGTGATGCCTAAAGAAAAAACCTCTAACACGGTTAAGATTAACCACTGGCTCAAATCCGTGGATGTTGACGAATAAATTCTACCCAAAATGTGCAAAATATGATGAGTTTTTACTTGTGATATAAAATATGTGAAATACATTATGTATTTAATCAATGGTTCTGGTAAGGCTCTACTTTCGACTAAAGGACCTCTGCGGGTAGTAACTGTGGGTATTAAGTTGTCTAGAGCGACTCAGCTCAGCAGTAGGGGAGCGTGGCAGCTACCTTCGAGTTGATTTGCTTTTTTCACTTACTTCAAAAGGCTTGCGGGTCGAAATTTTATTTCGTACCTCATCAAGTCAGCCAACCCCACCTCCAACAGGTACGGACTGGGTAGCTAGCAACGGGCGTCAGACCGGGCTGGGTGGTGACCCAGACGCCCACCGCAGCGAGGTAATGGGGTAATGGCGAGGGTTTATCAATACAGCTATCTGATCGGGGTGCCCCCTTGTTAGCCTCGCATTCCCATCCATACCAACTAAAAAATGCCGAATGGTACGGAGATTGTTATTGGTACTTATGTTCGTTGTACATGCGGTACACGGTACATACATCATACATCCCCAGTTTATGTTTTGATACTTGGCACCATAATTTATTTATCATTGTGAAAAAAATAGATGCTCTCTGTACATATTTTCATTAAAAAGTAGACGTTTATTGAACTCTGCATTAAAAACTTTATTGCACCTTTTCTGCGTGGTTGACGAACAGATTACTGAAAACATTTTATTGTTCAACAACATTTATTTATAAATTTTTACAGCATAAATAATTAGCAGAATTTTCAATTGCAATTTGTAGCACTTTATATTCCTTTGACGTGGAAGCGTTGTTGGTACTATAGAAATGTCATCAAGATTGTTCATACAAACTTACTTCGATGGCTCCTTTTGTAAAATTTTATGCAAAATATAGAATTGGCAAGCAAGGTAGCCAAACGATCTTCTGAAATTATGTCCAGTATACTCTTTCAGGTTGGGCAACTTGAAATATTCTGCAATATCACATGGAATATTTCCAAAAGTATTACCCACCGGTTGGGCCGAGCATTTTCCGTTTCTATAATAAACAAACAATCCTTGATGTGATGTCTTCGAAGGTCTAAGAGAAACGTATTTTCTACAAATTTTTATAATTTTTATCAGGGCTTTGACAATCAATAACGAAACTTCGTGATTTGTTAGTTTCGAAGGCGGAGTTTTACTGTCAACACCGAAGCAGAGTCTTCTACATCATCCACGCTCTTTTTAGAAAATTCATACCTTCCACACGCTCCGGCAATGCTGAAAATGGCTATAACCTAAAATTCGAGATTACGAAACTGCTATAAAATTATAGGTACCTTCATCATTAAAAATCTGTCGTTCGGTGCTTCCCATAAAAATGCTGATTTTTATGAATGCTGTTAACTTGATGAACTTTTTCAAATCCACATCCATTTTAATAGCCAATGAAGTCCTTACCATAGAGTACTCTGACCAGAGGGTTGATGGTTTTACATATTCGGCTCTTTCAGAAAAATAGTCAAGGAGCGCGTTTTTTGTAGATCAATTCATACTGCGGACAGGATTTTTCAGGCAATAAATTTGATGTTATTTTTGCGCCGCTGCAAAAATTTCAGACGGAGTATTTTCCTGATCAGTTTGTTGATTTCCGTTCCACACATTTTTATTTGCATTACGTTTTAACTGCAAACTCGGCAAACTGCAAAGGCGTCTGAACTTTGTTTATACATTAGTTGAAATAGACAACATTCAGTCAAGGCACACTAATGCCAACGCAATAATACGGACAAAATTTAAAAATTGATTTTTTTATTTTTTCTGCTTACCTAAAAAAGAGACAATTGTATATAAAATGTTGTAAGACACGTATAAAAAGTATTTTTATGTCATTGGTACCACTTATGCAATAAACAATGACTTTTTATACTTGTATCTTAAATAACTATTTCAGCATTGCACTACATTTTTTATATCAGTTATGCATAAAATATGTAGTGGTGAGTGCGTTCAAATTTTTACCATAGTATCCTTCGCTGGCGGTTTGGTTAATCTGACTTTTCAAGAAAATTTGCTAACATTACTTTTTCAGTAAACTTGTTTAAGTCCTCCTTAGTAGGTACACTATTCGTCAAAAGGATTATGTAGTTGTTTTGTATGCAACGCATGATTTTTGTGGGTAAATGTAAAACTATATTTTCGGTGGCAGTGTCAATATCAATGAAATGCTACTCTCTCCATCGGAATAATTAATCTTCAATAAACCTAGTAAAATAATGTGAAATTACTGCAGTTAAATCAATAAATCTGAATTAGGTTTTTTTTTTTGTTATTATTTGTTACATTGGTGACAAGAACCACCAAAACTAGCAACGTTAGAAAATGAGCTATATATATCTTAAAAGAAACTTCTTTTGTTGTACAATTATATAAATAAAAGGATACTTCACTGCTAGTTAGTGATTGACATGTGAATATATAATCAATACATATCTATACATATTTTATGTTATTACAGAAACTGCGTGCAGTGTAAGCAGATGTTTGGGCCATATTTCCAAGGACGAGCTTGTGGAGATGCATGCATATCAAGCAACGGACAGCTTATGCCAGATTGCAATAATCCACGGACCTTAGGGAATTTTTTAAAGCGGCTGTACTAAGCTTCTGCGTACCAATATATCAGATGTAGTAAACAATTATCAATGAAAAGAGTGGTTTAATTTGATTTTTTTGTTTTTAAGCTTGCATTTACAATGCAGTAACTTAATATCAGAAGATTTTATTTATGTTCATGATTTACGAGCATGTTAGCGCTTCTGGCGGTCATATTTGTTCCGCCCCCACCACCCGCAAGGGTGGGCCAGAGCCACCTCCTGTTTGAATACAGGCTATTTAGGGCCAGCAGATAAATTCGTATATATTCATATACTTATATTGTACATCTTTTTTTATTATTTAATACGTAATTTATTCAAAATTTTTATGTTAGTTTTATAATAATAATATAATTAAACACTACTGAATTTGACACTGTAACTTTTATTGTATATATTAATATCTTTTAAAATTTATTAAAAAAAACTCTCTGTTACCTGCATAAAACACGTATTGCAATATTGCAATTCTTAGCAAGCATTGCGAAGAAGTAAATCATGCATGCTCTAAAATTATTTTTGAAAGGAAATGTTATTGACAATAATATTTAGTAAAAATATCTAAAATAATTGTAATGATGTCGTATTTGTGGGTTGTTTGAAAGATGTCTATAATTTAGAACTGGAACAAAAGCATTGTTACCGGTTATCTCTATTTTTCAAAAATAATTTTAAAGTAGGAGTATTATTTATTAAGTGATGGCAAGTGAATACAATAGAGCATACACTAATAACCGCTTAGATTGAGAGTCAACTCTATGTTTCTAGAGGAAACGTAATGGTGTATATAGATGTAAAGGTAATCTCCTCCACTGGTGTGACCACAATCAGGACCCCCTTTCACGGCTTTCCACAAACTGTTGTGTCAAAGCCAAAGGCGCCTTACATATCAGATTCGCCCTAGTCTGGCATCCGCTTTACTAAAACATAACACATACTAGATGTACTCAAACATGTGTAGGTATAGCTTTAAGGAACGGAAGCTTGTTTTCTAATTCCGGATGGTACTTTCTAGACCTAGAGCTTCGACGAGGTTGAGGGATATCTGGTAATGGTTTCTTTGGGTTTGTCAGTATTATTTGATCAGAAATATAGTGCGGAGTGTGTTCCAAACGTTTGTTGACTTTCAGTAATTTTTATACCTCCATCTTTGAAATAGAGGACCGCATTTGAATTTAACAGGAGTGTTAATGGACAATCATTGTCGAAACATAAAGAATACGCACTTACTATAAATTCCTAGAATTAAAGAAATCAAAGGCACCAAATGACCTGCTTAGAAACTCGTAAACACACTTGTCTTGGCAATTATTAGGAGTATATTATAATAAAATTTTAATAACGGTCCATCGCGACAAACCCTCTCCCAACCATCTGGACTGCGGCAAGTTTACAAGGATGCGCGGTTAAGCCGCCCTAAAAATTACTAAAACTCAAGAGACACTTGGGGCACACTCCGCACTATATTTCTGATTAAATAATAAGGACAGCCGCAGATGAGATGCTTGACAGTTTGTCTATAATCATACTACTTACAAGTAGTTGAGGGGTTCTGAGTGGGCGAAGTGTGTCTTAATCGTCACCGCGTTGAGAAGACTTGATCACGGTGATCTGATGGAAGTGGTAGTGGATGGTTAACTACCGGCTTAATATGCTGCAGTTTTGTAGACGCAGAGTTCTAATCTGTTTGCCTTTTTTGAGTTAGACTCTTTGAATAAAATTTTGCTGTCAGGTCCTAGAACAAACAAAATTTCTTCAGCATCTGTCAAATCCGCTCTTTCAATATTTTAGTTGTGGACACAAATTATCGTTCAACTTCAAGACATTGTTACATCTATTAATTCTGTACCATCATATGTGATACTGACACCTCCATACAAGAGATATTCAGTGATTACGACAGTAGCATCACTTTACTCTTGATATTCCGCAAAAATTTTTACCGTGGTCTTGTCCAAACCCATCGCTCATAGCAGCTGTTTTTCGGTGCGCCCACCAAAGGTCTCGACCATATAAAAAAAATCGAAATAACTGTTAATGGTGCAAGGTTATTTTATTATCAGAAAAATTAACGACAGCAAATTAAAACTCTTTATATTCTATAGTTACATTTATCCCCATATGAAAAGTTCCATTATCAATAAGGTTTCATGGCTGGCCGATCCACATTGTCCCTGCATTTTGAAACTTATAGACCCGGTTTATAGAAATCGAAATTAAAGTTAACTCCCGATTAACTTTTAATTGAGGTCTATTGCTAGGCAACGTCCATGTTTTAACCCATCACGGGCTCATATTCCACATTTTAATCTTCTGTTAAATTAATCGAGGATTAAATATTTAATTCGCTGTTCTGTAAACCGACCCATATTCTCGTAAATAGAGAATATTTTGTTATGCCGGATATAAGTTTTATAGGATCCATAGAAACGTAAAACACTGATGTTTATGTTTCGTCTGAGACCTTGGATACTGTCTTATTTCTACATATTTTAATTTATCTGTTATTTATATGTTAGAATTTGACCTGTAATTGGAACTCTTTAGTTCTGTTGGGCAAATAATTATATTTATTTATTTATTTATCTGTTACTGTTTAAACATTTATCATTGCAAAATAATCTTATAAAAAATTGGTCGAAGATTATTTCAACAGAACTTTCCTCGCCCTTGAAATATAGTCCAACAAATTCCAATTCTTGGCAAAAATGAGAAAATTTGATTTTGCAATTTTTGTTTTGTTGTAACCTTTATAAAGTAAAAACCAGTGGCGTAAATAACGCCCTTGCAGCTCCAGCGTTACGGGGCGCAAATTTCAAAGGCGCGCTTCGCAAAAGTGCGGACAATATTAAAGCAGATATAGTAGCCTGCATAGATATTGTAGCCGTCCATAGAGTCGAAATTTGCGAATAAAAATAAAATAAAACCGGTTCAAACGGAGCCGACGGTGGCTTGCAAATTCTGACATCACTCTGGCACACGTTGCACAGAGACGTATTTAATATTAAATGTCATCTTTTCCGTTATGATATAATCTGTTTCATTTCTTAGCTCAATCTCGTCAATAAAAACGAAGCTCTGTTCACTGTAAACAAGTTGTGGTATGGAATATTCATCGTTGCGGAGGTAGGTGGAGCGAAAAACCTGGTAATCTTAGCAGCAAACGCGGGTATAAACTAGTCCACGTGGACTGTTTGTTTCCTGTCATATTTTAGTTTGCTTGAACCAATTGCGTTGCACCAAACGGTTATTACACTTGTTGAAATACATTTTCACACTTCCATCTTTCTCTAGATCGTGGGTTTCGTAGCTGTGTGACAAATCGTTTGTCGTAGATAGAAAATAGTAAGATTACAGTGACCCTAAGATTTTGTGCAATCGGTCTTAAATACGCCCCTGTGTGATACGACGCGTGCCGTAGTGACAGAACTTGCAAGCCGTCGTCGGCTCCGTTTGAGCCGGTTTTATTTTATTTTTATTCGCAAATTTCAACTCTATGGACGGCTACAATATCTATGCAGGCTACTATAACTACCGTGAAAAATGTATTCTAAATTTTTCAATACATGCTTAACTTCAACTGTTTATGTTTATATTTCGAAAGAATTTGGCTATTCGCATGTTCAGATTACAAGCGTCAGCGTGTTAAAATGTAAGGACCGTAGAACAGAGAACTAATTAATTAATTAAGCACACTCTTTTTTTTCTCAAATTGGATGTCTAATGTTCATAACTTTGAAGAACATCAATCGCAAGAATCCACAAAATTGTAAGATAACGAAATCATTTTTGAGGACATCAGGAACGGACAAATGTTGATTTACCATGCTTCTAATAATCTTAAAGTGTTTGCAAGATTTCACAGCATTAGATTTTGCAATTTCAAATGTATTTTGTAAAATGTTATACATTTTATTGATTGTTGATTTTTTCCCAAAAATCTGGATGCCTAGGGTAAAAACTCGAACACGGATTTATAAATCACGATATTCCTAAATACATTTAAAATTTGACAACAATCGGTCCAGTAGTTTCGGAGATTATATGACTAATATAAATTGACATAGACGGGAAACGGCAAACAGACAGACAGACGGAAACAGGGGCCTATTTTTTCGTACACTAGGTGTTATATGGAACGTCGAGAAAACATGAAAGTATCCAGTGGTTCGATAGATTTGATAAGAATACGTCGTTAGCTTAATCTCGTGAAGTAACTATATTAAATAGATTGTAATCGTATTAATGAAGGAAAACAAAAATGTTATTTTTATTTTCTGCCTAGCTGCCCTTGTGCCCTTATAGGTATAGTTTCATGTTTCAGAAAATTACTTCTTTGGTTTCTTTAGTATAAATACTAAGATTAATAAGTATGCAAGCAGCAATTTTGAAACAATTAAGTTTATCATTTGAAAGTTTCAGGCTTTTGAAATGGTCAATGTCAAGTGTTAAAGAAAGCCACTGTCCTGGAATAGCTGGAATAGTTAGCTAAATAAGTATTGTAATAAGGTCCATCTGTCGAATGGTTGGTTTCGTGTCTTCTCGACAGGTAATTTCCGAAACTACTGGACTGATTATTGTCAAATTTTATATCTGATTGTTTATAGACGATTTCACGCATGTAATTACTGCGGACAAGTTGTTATATGCAGATGATACCAAGATATATACAATAGTTATGCAAATGGGAGACTGCATAAAACTTTAAGACAACTTAGACAACATTTTCACAAATTGCGGCAGAAATAAACTTTCAACAGACAAAGAGCTAAGTAATATCATATTCACTTAAAAAGTCTAGCATTAATTTATTACTCCCTGGAAGAACTGTAATGTACCTATAGGCCTGAATTAATTTCTAACTTAGATGTTGAATGATGGCAAAATCTCATTCTTTGCTCATATTAATAAAATTGTGTCTGACTGTCTGAAGCTATGAAAAATGTAGGTTTTTTCAGGGGCGGCTGGTGCCGGGGGGTCTACAAACACACTGGACATGGTAAAATAGTAATTTTCAATATTTAAAAAATTATCCGGAAATTTGTGTCATAATTATCAAAACTAATTTTTTCTCTCTCCACTTGCATAAAATGTATCAAAACTTACATCCACTTACATCTAAAGTGTGACTTGGATATATGATATGTTATTTCTGGTGAAATGCTGATAAAACCTGGGCACAGAGACCGAATAATGGCTGATTTAGATGTTTTGTTTACACCTTTGCAAAGAAAATCACACGTCGTAGCCGCCTGATATGCGTTTGATACAACTGGACTGTGGGCCCATTCTCACCGTGCTCGGGAGGATTGAGTTACTATCGCGGGTTTTAATTTTCATTCTGCGCCAACACGTATGATAAATATTCTTGTATAATCTTCTCGGTAATACAGACATTCAGAAACAACTACACACCGTATATATTAATAATATTCGGGCACATAACGCAAGGGTCGACAAAAATCGCCATATATTATGCCGATTGATAATGTGCATAAAATTTTAGTGGAGTGTTTGAACTTGCTTTACGTGGAGATGACGAAAGTAGGTAATCACAAAATCCAGGTATATTTCGAGGTCTGATTGATTTTACGGCTGAATTGGACTCTGCTTTATCAAATCATTTGAAAGAAGCAACGGTTATTAAAGGAACAGCTAAAACTGTTCAAAATGAACTTTTAGATGCCATGAACGTAAAATTTTAACCGAAGGCAAAAAGGTATGTGGAGAAATTCTTTTTACTTCCCGAGCGAAAGCAAAGGAAGTATTGTAATCGAGTCCGTCGGCCGACTCTCTACTTTTACGTTTTCTCGATCTTTCGTGACTCCTAGAAGACGAAGAAATAGGTCTCCCATTTCCGTCTGTCTGTCCGTCCGTCTGTCCGTCTGTCCGTCTGTCCGTCTGTCCGTCTGCCGTCCCGGATTTTTATTAGACAGATAATCTCCGAAAGTACTGGACCGATTGTTGTGAAAATTTGTAGTTATATTAGGAATATCATGTGGATGGTAAAACGCTAACAAAAATTTGTCTAATCGTCCCCACCACTAATGCGATGACGTCATTACAAAATTGTACATAGTAAATGGGTTTTAAATTGCATAAAATAACATAGTCCTACACATGTAGTTTACAACTCCAAATTGACTTTTCACCCGAAACGTCCAGATTTTTGGAAAAAAAATCAAAATTATAAAACAACATTTTGAAATTTAATTTTGAATCTACTAACCGGAATCCTTTGTAATGTTGCAGATGTTTTAAGGCTATAGAGCATCATAAATCTTTAGTCAAAAAATATTTGCTTATCCCCTCCAAAAACTTGATGACGTCAGCTCAAAAGTTTGCGGAATAAATTATATCTAAAATGTACAAAATATGATGAGTCTGTACTTGTGATCTATCACTCCATTCATATTTTTTGGATTTGCATATGCAGGGTGACTCAAAAAAATTAATGAATGCGTAAATTTATTTTATTGATTTAATCAGGAACTACAAAACCGAATGCTTTGAAATCTTGCAGATGTTTTAAGGTTATAAAGAGCATAATAAATGTTTAGTCAAAATATATTTGGTTATCCTCTCCAAAAACTTGATGACGTCAGCTCAAAAGTTTGCCGAATAAATCGTATCTAAAATGTACAAAATATGATGAATTTGTTTCGTTTCATGCAGATTCGACCGATATCGGGTTTCGCCTCGGGTCGTACCGCCCTCAACCCTCGAGGGGCAATCTGGCCACTCGAGACATATGTGACTTTAGTTCGTAGGAATAACTTGTAAAGAACACTTGTTTTGTTACTGTCTTAATATATACGCTAATTTAAGTCCACTGCGCATTTCTTTACTGCGAACGCATACCGACGGATAGTAACAGAATTTATACTTGTAAAATTTATCATTCCATTAATATTTTTTGGATTTGCATATACAGGGTGACTCAAAAAAATTAATGAATGCGTAAATTTATTTTATTGATTTAATCAGGAACTACAAAACCGAAGGCTTTGTACTTTTGGAAACGTTTTAAAGTTATCATAAGCATGCTAAATTTTTGATCGAAATGTATGTGCTCATCCACCCTAAAAAAATGCTGACCTCACCCTAAAATTTTGTTGAATAAATCCTATCTAAAATATACAAAATATGATAAGTCTGTACTTGTGATTTATCATTCCATTAATATTTTTTGGATTTGCGTATACAGGGTCACTCAAAAAAAAAAAAATCATTGTATTTCAGGACCGAGGGAAGTTCTGTCGAAACAACTTTCAACCAATTTTTTTTCTTTTGTTTTTTTGTGGTTCATAAGTCAGCAGTCTCGTCATGGGAGCACCGTCACAGGAGCAGTGTAATATAGGGCACTTGTGCTTTTACTACTGTTCTAACTTTTTGCTTGCTTACTTCAATTAGAACCCTTTAATTGGAATGTTTTTTTTTTCGTTGAGTCCTTTTTGTAACAATAAGACAATAACTTTTCTTCGGTAAACTTAAATTTTATTTTACTGTGCATCCTTTAGTACAAGTTAACACAATGCCAACAAAACCATTAAAGCTTCATTTTCATGAGTCAGTTTTTCGTCTTTTAAAATTCAACGCTATTAGAAAGACGGAAACGGAAAGAATCATTCAATAAATTAGTGACAACACGCTAATTGCATTCAGGTTGGTTATATGTAGTAATTGATTCATCAAGCCGACAATTCTATTGACAAATTACCGTGTACACTATAATTTTTTTCTAGTTTATGAAACACGTGAGAAGTGTCTGACTAATGCGGTGTCTAGAGAATTGGAAAAAGAAACAAAAATATTTAAGCAGAGGTGTTAAATAAAAAAGTTAAAATCGGCAAACAGTGGGCTAATTAAGATTATTTCAACGAAGGTTTGATCCGTAACGTGATGCTATGAACATGGTTTTCATAACAAGGAAGTGGATAGTTTTTTGGTAAGATTGTTCGTGTTTTTAATATTAATTTTACATGTATTATAGTTTATTACCAGTGTGGCTTTGTACAGCTTTAGTACCAAAACACCGAAGTTATTTAAATACTTCTAAAAATATAATTCCTGAATACTACGTCAAGGGTGATTTGCATTGGTTATACTGTATGGACAACAAAATTTTAGATAAAAGGAGGTTGTGATTAACATACGTAGGTAGGCGTATTATATTTGTTCCCAATAAATATTACTCCTTGTTTTTTATCTACTATGCCCAATGTAAGTCCATCGCAACCTCCCTTGATCACTAATTTTGTTGTTCGTACGGTAGTTTATGTTTCTTATTCATTAGAAGCTTTTTTAGAAGTGAGACCTCCAACTCTTCGTAATAGTCCAATAGAAGTAGAATTTAGTATGAGAGTTGTGGACATAAATTCTATTAACGTAGAAGACATGGATTTTCGGATGGACATGTTTTTGAGCCAAGAATGGGTTGATGCGCGCATCAAAATTCCAGAAGACATGTTTGAAATTGGAGACGATGCAGTTACATTACCTGCTCAAAGTTTCGATAATTTGTGGCAACCCGACCTATATTTTTTAAATTCAAAAGTAGTGGGTAAGCCATTTTAGTTGAAGTAGATGTGATTGTTAAGATTCGCGTATATTTTGTTAGAAATTGCTGGTCTTACGCATAAATTTTCATCAGTGACAATCTACAGAAATAAAACCATTAAATATAATGCCAGAATGCATGCCATTGTTGCTTGTCAAATGGAGTTCTGGCACTACCCGATGGATACCCAAATATGTCCTGTCAATGTAGAAAGTTGTGAGTATGCCTTTATATTTAAACTTTAATTTTTAACTATAGTTTCATACAACAACAACAAAATGCGTTTAAAGTGGTCCAGGAAAGGTGTGATGATAGTGCCAGAACTCAAGTTACTTCAATACAATATTCTTCCACTGCAGCTGGAAGAGCAGAATGTTTATACATCAGAAAAAAATGGTACGTACTACTTTACATCTTTGACAATAAAGAATATCTTTTCTTTCTAGGTAATTTCTCACGACTAGTGGTCTATTTTAGATTCGAACGTCAAATTGGACATCATTTGATTCAAACTTTTGCACCATCGACTTTAGTTGTAGTACTTTCGTGGCTTAGTTTTTGGTTAGGCTTGGATGCGGTACCAGGACGAGTGACGTTGTTAGTTACCTGTTTACTTACTTTGGTTACTATGTTCACCGGACTGAGGTCAGACATACCAGCAGTGGCATATATCAAGGTACTTCAAATATGAAAGTTTATTAGGTATTACAATCAGTAAATACTGTATTGCTGAGATAATTATTTCTTACGTAGATAGACGCTTTGTGTAATCATCTTAATATTATTATTATTTTTTAATTACAACAGGCTTTGGATCTATGGATGGCTGGTTGTATGGTGTCCGTCTTTGCCGCTTTTGGAGAATTCGTAATTGTTAAAGTTTTAGATGGCCAGTACCAGAAAGTGAAGAAAAAACAATGTGAACAAGCAATGGTAATAAATAAGTAGAAAAATCTGTCATTTAAATTTCTCTTGTAGGAAGCTGCAATGACACCGTGGAAACATTTATCAAAGCCTAGTTGCACATCTAGAAGGAGCAGTTACCCAGTAATTCCTCCTACTTGGCGAAATGTAGGTATTAATATAGTATTTATTCAGACATTAATAGTAAATCACATACATGATTTCCCTAATAAATTTGTTCCAGAAAAAAGGAAAAGAAAAAATTCTTTGGCACAAAGTAGATCGAATTTCCAGAATTGTATTTCCTGTTCTATTTTTCATTTTTGCTGTTATATACTGGACCAGTTTGATTTTTGGCAGAACACCCAGTATATTGCCATAACAAAGCAAAACATGAAACTGTTTACATCATCATGTTAAGTCTCAAGAAATAATAAAGTAGGTTGAGAATAAAACAGGTTTCTAGTGCAACAGTTTGTGAAACTGGTATCTTTCTGCATTCTTTATTTGTTTACACGTTACCAAAATACAAATAAATACTTAAATAAATAAAAAACTAACATCACAGGCAAATGGAATACGAAAATTATGTGATAACAGAAATAAGTTAAATACTTAGGGCACATTGCTCTGTTTTCCTTTAGACCTATCTGTCAAAAGTTTCCTCATTCGAATTTACTTAGAAACGGTGCAATGGACGCTATGTCTTCGCAGTCTGGAATGATTTTGCCTTTGAACTTGACACATGCATCTGCACAGAGTTGTCCTTCGAAGTAAGGTCCAAACATTTTCTTGCATTGCGCACAATTTCGTATACATACTCCTACAATTAATTTAGTTTAGTTTTTAATAATTTTTTAATTTATACCTACATACCAATAGGATTAGCATCCACTACGAGGAAAACTGAAGCGGTGAGAAACATTAGAAGCACAGTTCTTATAAAATTTCTGGTTCTGGTGTCCATTTTATCCTATAATCATGCGAGTAATAGTTTAGTAATTTCACAATGATATTAGCTCGTAAGCACACGCAACTCAACTAAAAATATTGAGAATTTCATCAGACTTTAAAGAAATGGTGAACAAAGAGTTTGATGGCTAGCCATGGGTGGTAGGCATAACTTTTTGTAAAAATTCTGAGTAACTCACAGCTATATCCTTGTTTTGATTAGTCGGTATGGACATAAACAATTTTATGAATTGAGTTGATTTTATAGTATTTACCGTATTAGAAGCTGCTTCCGCAAGGACGAAAGACCCGGATATTGGGTAGTGAAGTTCCGCGATTATAGTGAAATGATTATTTAAATGTTAAAATTTCATAGAAAAATTTTCCCATATGATTTTTATGATTTAATATTCTTATTTTTCAGTAATGAGGCTTTTTTCATTCAGCATATTGCAAAATATTTGATAATATTAAAAATATTTGTTAGTTTTAAGAAAAATATCTTCATAAAAATCGAGCTAAATGTGCTCAGTCCAGTTGTTTATTTTACTAAAATAAAATTAAAAGATATAAATGCCCACAAAAGATATTTAAGTGTGCCTAAAAATACTAACAATTGTTAAGATTTAAAAATATGTAAAGTAGAATCTATTTATAGCACGTCATTTCTTTAATAAGGTTCAATAACATTGCTCGGAAGTATTTTACTCGAGAACAGGATGTAAGTGATTCCCCACGAGACTCATGTCAAACTTAACAAAAATGTTGTTAGCAATGACTTTCAAAACAGGAATTTATTTCATTAAATTTATATGTGTGATTGAAAGTTTATGACAAACACAGAAAACGGAACATTTATTATGAATATTGTAACGGAATTATTTTTTATTGTCCTATTAATGTTCAAAATCAAATATTTCTAAAAATGTTCACGGTTTACACTGTTGCAATAAAATTAACAGATACATTCGGTAACAATACTACTTACCAACAAACAGCTTGGGAAAATGGTTCGATTAAGTACCAATTAATAAATTTATTGCTGGTCGCAGATTTTATTTAACAAGTGTCATTACAGAAATAAGGCATTACTAAAAACTTTTGTTTTTAAGCATATTTTTGTAAATATTCTAAACTAGCGGTTTTTTTTGTTTTATGCCCAAATAAAAAAACTATAAAATTATAGAATTGACCGTCATTGAAACACAAAGTAAGGCAACCTAGGACTGCTTTCTCGATACATGTTTAAGATAAGTATTTAATAATTTTGAAGAAATAACATCGTAACTTTTTTAAATAAAATTCCAAAAACTAAAAGAACATTGTCAAATTTTAAATAAAATTATTATATACTGTGGTATAGGAATTTTTTTAAATTTTGTTTCCTAATACAACTGTGCACTTTTCTATTAAAAGATTATATAACATTTTGCAAGACGAGATTTATTTTGATATGAGAAACAGACAAATCTTAACTAGCGTTTCACCATCTTCACAATAATTTTAAAGCGTTTGTACATAAAATTTCAGGGTAAAGGCTTTCGTAAGGAAATACGAGTACTTGAACATTTGGGTTTTATTAAACTGACCCTATTACAGTACGTTCCTTAGCTACCTCCTGTTATAGTCTAAGAGCTAGCAACAGATTTACATTATATAAATATTTCAGAACCCATGAAAATTGGTGGATGAAGTCTTGTATACCTACTAAATATGGATTACCCACTTTGGCAACTGATACAGACCGGAAAAGCCCTAATTCGCAAAGGGTACAAAAAAAAAGTTTACAATTTTTATAAACTAACAGGTCTGGCATTTGAAGATGAGTATTTCTTGAGAAGAAAAAATAGTGCCATATTATTTCCACTCCTCCAAATCGTTAACTAAATAATAAAAATTGGTATATATGTATATTTGATATTTGTGTGATTTCAAGAGTGTTGAAATTTAAATGTAGTTGAAAGTAAAGTGGTCAATATTTTTTTGTATGAAGCTAAAAAACATTCTTAACTTTATATCTAAGTTTCATTTCCCAAGCATAAGCTAATGGAGTATTGTAATAGGGTAATTATGATGTACTTATATTTTGTTACCATGTTCGCAGTTTTTGTAACATTATTTAAAACAGTTGTAAGTATGAGCCAAGCTTAGCACATATTATAACTTAACTAATACACAACCAGCGCAACTAGTCGATACTAATTAAAGCATAAAACAAAAAGCAAAATAAAATAAAATATAATAAAATAAAAATTTGTAATAATTACTTACTTTTCTTTGGAGAGTCTCAACTTACACTGACATTGCTGAAAGAACACTACACATTTATACCCATTTTCAGTTAAGTGCAAACGATAGGGGACTGATTTGGTTATGTTTCCAAAGAGGTTGCTTAATTTATTTTTTCCATTATCTTTAATATCCGGTGAACACAAACACTATATATTTGTCCTTTGTTTCTGGAAGTGCTGCAGACGTTTCGTTTGAATTACTAACTAAATTAATAAACACAGATACCATCACCATTGTAGGTTTTACATTCCCAGAGAAATTAGAAACCGCTCTTCGCTAGAGCTTTGCTGGTTCTTTAAGTGTGACGAATCATTCCACCTGAGTCCACCTTATTCAGAGGAATTATTTCTTCGTTGGTGCTTTCCTAGCTATTCTACTTCATTTTTGGACACGTATTTTTCAGTTCGTTGTCCCCGTATATCGCAAATCGTTGGTCACTGGGTCTTCCCGGTTTGTCTTCGGCCTTCTTCTCCCTTTGTTTGCCTCTGGTTTCCATATCCTTATTCTTTTAATCGTTAAGTTTTCTTTATTTACTAGTCTTCACTTTTAAGTCCTAGCCATTCTATTCGTGAGAGTATACCAAATTTGTTGCAATTAAGTTTGTCTATCTCTAGAATATTACCCACAAACCTCATTAGACGTCTATTTTTTCCACTGCCCGTTATTATTATAGGACCTAAAACAGATACTCCACTATAAAATTATAAAATGTAAAGATAAATAAATACCAAATATTATTTAAGTTATGGCATTTTAGCCTAAACATTTTTTTTAGTTACTTTATTTATGTCGGTTGTCAAAAAAGCATGTTCCATTTTATTGACTAGTAAGATGATTTCAAATTTTCACTTTGTGATAAGGCATCGTATTGATGAAAATTGTAAGTAGTAGGGAGACGCAAGTCACAACCCAGTTTTTGTCAAAGCTTAAATTAATGTTGATGCCTGTAGTACATAACGCAGCAAGACATTACTACATTCTAAAATCTAAGATGGTTCTTCAAAAAGATCAAGTTAACAATAAAATTTTATAGGCTGAAAAGTTCCAATTTATATGTGTAGTTATACCGAAATAGAAAGCTTTTTGTTTACGTTTCAAGCGGAAGTAATTAATGTAAAGGCACACCGAAAAGTTTAGACTGGTCTATAAAATGAATGAAAAATTTGCCTTCCTGATCTAATTTTTCGGCTGATTTGCTTTCATATATTTTTTAGCGCGCATAATGTTTTAAACACAGTTATTTTTTTTATTTGCACAAAATACATCATCTTAACAAGGATATTGAATTTAATTAGTCAGTCAATTAACCAAAAACATTAATAAACTAAACGGAACTTTCATGTAATTTGTTGACATGACTACTTTTTTGTCAAATCATGGATGCATATTACTACAAGTCTATTTTCTCAATTAGTAAGATTCTTAAATTTTTTTCTTGAGTATTTTGGTTGTAGCTAGTCTTAAGATCCAAGAGTCAGAAATCACTATTGTTAACTTTGTAAAGAAAAACTTGACATTATTCAATATATCATTTCTGTACGTACGTATGTATATTATGTACACTACTTGCTTATAGAAATCAAGTCACTGCTAAATTTTCAGTAAATTTCCATTCTACCTTTAGTAATTTTCACCATTGGTGTGTAGTACCAAATAGCTTAGTTGAGAATTTGAATTTTTTTGTTTCAGAGGATTAATAATAATAATAATTGTCAAATTTCAAAAAACTGTTCTGTGGGTAGAAATTAGGAAATAATAGCAGACGATTCTTTATGCTATAAGACTGTATAACTGTACATACTATCAAATATCTTGGTTGAGAACTTGAAATTTTTATATTTTATTCCTCGAACCTCAGGAAGTATTGTAACCAGATTCATCCAGCGAACTTTCATGTTTCCTCGAAGTTCTATGAATATGAAAAAATAGGTCGCTCGTTTTCGTCTGTCTATCTATGTGTTTGTCTGTCTGTCGTCTATCGTCTGTCGTCTGTCGTCTGTCGTCTGTCGTCTGTCATCTATGTCGATGGTTATTAGACTTGCACTTGTGGTTTATGATTCCGTGTTGATTTTTTACCCTAGTGACCCAGATTTTTGGAAAAAATAGTTAAAAAGTATATAACATTTTACAATATAACTTTGAAACTGTAACACCGAATTTCACCCCAACCCAAAAAGCCTAGCGTAACTATCGGTCATTTATCCGTGCATCACTTGAAAAGTGACCTACACTACTCTGACCTACCGATGCTAACCTATTCTGATGACGTGATCAAACTGTTCGAAAAACTTACATGACATGTTCCTAACAAAACAGCTTTTTAGATTTTAATAATAATAATAATAATAATCATCTTTATTTCCAACGAGCAAAAAACACCCAATTACAGGAAATAATTAAAAAAGAATGAAGCATATAAATGATAATTAAACATATTAACAATAAATAAATACGAAAATTAAAATAATTACAAATTAAAGAAAGCAATATACCTAATATTTAAATCGCTCAGATTAGAGTCTAAAACTTAAATGAATCTATGAGTAAGCACATCCTCCTATTCAAGATATTAATAAAAAATAAGGATGAAAATTAAAATAATTACAAATTAATGAAGATAACATAGTAAACCGTTAAGACCAGAAACTTAAACTTAAATGTTTGTAGGAGTAACCTCAAACTAAACATATTAATAACAAAAATGGGGATAATATTAATAATACAATTACAACACTAACAACTTTAGAAGAGATTTACATATATGTTGAGCTGAATCGAAATTGAAATCACAGTCACTGCTAATTAAGTTGCAATAGTTACACATGAGCGCAACGGGCGATCTACCTACTTAGAGCATTAGTTTTACAGCGAGGTGCATAAAATAAAGGATTCTGTCTGGAGTTTAATCTAGGGACAACAAAGAAAAACTTATCAAGGAGGTATGGACAATCTATTCTATTATTTAGTATATTGTATGAAAATTTAGCAACAATAATTATCCTTCTTGTGTGAAGTCGTTTGCAATTAAATCTGGCCAATAATAATTCATGATTGAACCCTCGAGGGGGATAAACGCCATCGGTCAGAT